CCCAGGGTAAAGGAGAGTGGAATTGACCGATGCAGCTGTCAGTATAGGTGTATTGCTGGATGCACAAAAGAAAAAAGAAAGAAAAAAAAAAACAGGGGTTAGCGGTTAGAGGCATTTGTGCGATGGCAAAAAAGAGAAAGTTGCATATTGGATGCATTGGTTCCACGTGACAATGGCTTTGGTCTGTTGATGAACCTGTTTTTCATGGGAGAATATTGTGATGTGTTAGAATGGGTCGGGATGCCAGGTCAAGTTGTCGGGACACATAAGGATCAGCCACAGGTGTTTGAGTTATGGGTGAAGCATAAAGTTTCCCCTGGACCCCTGGGCACCAGCCTTAGTCCAGGAATCCGGTATTGTGAAGTCAGCTTTCCTTGAGGAAAACGTAGTGTTAATATTACTAGACTCTTCCATTTTACAATACCATCTCCTGCATCCCCCCTATGTGTCTACCTTGGCCAAGCATTCTTGTTTGAATCTGAATTGTCTGCATGGGAGGCAAATGAAAAGGGGCGTTTGAACATTTGGTGGAATTGGGGTAGAGGACAAAGGAGACAGCGTTCTGGCATCCTTCAATTGGGAAGTCCCCAGAGCCTATAATGATGTTGTGAGCTTTGTAAGGTCTCCCTAGCGAAGAAACGCCAATGAAGATTAGGAGGGCTGGGAAGAGCATGTGCTGGACTGTACCAATATACGCGTGTGGTGATATAGTCACCTGTCCTCTGGCGCCTGAGTCGCTTCCTCTTTGTCGTCTCCATGACTGACAAGCATGCCATCTTTTGACTGGAGGGGTCATGTTGGACATTGAGGGCTGGTTCCCACCAGACAGGGCAAGTTTGGTCCTGTGGGAATACACAAGCAAATCCTCTTCCAGTTGTTGGAAAGGGATCCAAACTCTTCCAGCACCGTCAAGCGGGTCCTTCCATTCCTTCCATTGGACCTTTAAAAGGATGGATGGCTCCAGTGATGGATAATGGGGAGCAGGGGTTGTCCTGGATAGCATAAACATTCAGCACTTTGGGTGTGAATAGTGCCATGTTTAATTGAATGTTTGGTGGTAGGGAGCTCTGTGCTTGTTTGACTAGGTAGGTGTGTGTGTGTGTGTGTGTGTGTGTGTGTGTGTGTGTGTGTGTAAGTGTGTGTGTGTGGTTTTTGCTTTACTTGGATTTTTTTTTTTAGTGTTTGGTGTGTTCTTTGGCCCTGCAGATTGTGGGGGATGCCAGTGTGGTGGACTATTTTCCAAGTCTCACAAAAACATTTAAATTGGTGGCTCTTAAAGGCAGGTCCATTATCCGTTTTGATCTGGAGGGGGAACCCTTCATGACAACTAAAGTGGAAAGCATGTGATTAGTGTGTGTGTGTGTGTGTGTGTGTGTGTATGTGTGTGTGTGTGCGCGTGCGCACGCTCGTGTCTGTGTCTGTGTTTTCACTAGTCTGTGCCATAACACAGGTGAAATGAGAATAATTGTCAACAGTGACAAGTATACATTTTTGTCTACTGAATGATTGAATATGGGTAGCATCAACCTGCCAGAGGGCATTGGCTTTAAGGTCTCTGGTATTGGTGCCCAATTGTTTTATAGTAGGAGTATGAATTAGGGAGGCACAAAAGGAGCAAATTTTTCCAATACGTTTAAGGTGTTTTATAGGAGTAGTGGGGCATTTACCTTGTAGTCCTCTTACTGTTAGTATGGATCAGCTGATGGAATTCTTTAGCCTATAGGGGTGACATAGTAAAGACCCCAATTGTGGCAATTTTATCGACTGAAGCATTGCTGCCAGAAAGTGGCCTATAGAGAGATGAGTGAGTGTATTCAGATATGAGTATAGATGGGACATTTTCTTATTTTGAGTATATTTGAAATTTTTATTAATATTGAGGAGAGAGGATTACCATCAAGCTTAACATAAGGGTGGGCTAGCCAAGGGGGCAGATTAACTGCATAGATGCTGTCTGAATATAGATTAAATGATTCTTTGATGTGTGTTATAAACAGGAAGATGGCTGTCAGTGCATTGAATTGGGGGGGAAGAAAAGATGGGACTCAGTGTTATTGTCTCATCTATACATTCCATATGGACATCCCAACCTGTGAAAGCCATGGGGCCTTGTGGGATAAGGGACCCAGAGAATAAGCCACTTAAAGAGTGGTACAGTTGCCAGAAACTTATCCTTGGAATAGTGGTTATCTGTTTGTCCTAGAAAGCCCATAAGCCTGTTAGCAAAAGAAGTGTGATTTCTTAGGAGCCACTGGATGTCTGGGGGAGGGAAGGCTAGTATAACCATATCAGGTTCCTTTCCTATGATTTGTAATGTGTGTTCCCTTCCTGTTCTTATCCTGTTGGATAATGCCCCTACCTCTGTTAATTAACGAGGGGCTCCCCCTACTGGTGTATGGAGCCATTCTGAGAGCCCCTGAGGCTGGAATAAGGGCTCCAACTACCACGGGTGAGTATTAAATATAAAGATTTGGATTGGCTGTTGTGGATCATAACAAGCCAGGGAAGCATTTTTTTTCAATTTAATTGTTAATAGAACAAAGGGCCTCTTTAGCTGCTGGTGTCAGGGAGTAAGGGAAAGACCGGTTTTGTAACCCTTAAGTAGATCAAATAAAGTCTGCGATTGGCTGGCTGATGTGTATGAGGAACCAAGAACTCAGGCAGTTAATACTGCCTAGGAAGCTTTGAAGGTTATTTGAAGTTACCAGGTTAAGAAGTCAATATAGCAGGGTTAGCTGGCTGGACTGAGGTTAGGGTAATTTCTGTCCCCAGAAATGTAATGGGAGGGACAAGTTGGATCTTTTCTTCTCTTATAGTCTCTTTCAAGGCCTTTGTGGTTTGTTGTTTAAGATTTTCTAAGGTTAGTTTTGATCCTATCTTTTGTCCTGCCACATTAATGGTCATCAAAGTAATGATATACATAGACACTTGATTTCATAAGGGGTTTTAATGCATGGACTATAGCTTCCTGACAAATTGTTGGGGAATTGGCCATTCCTTGAGGAAGTACAGTACACTCATATCTATCGTCTGATCCTGAGTTGTTGATTTTTATATTGATAAGGTGAAAAGCTTACATTCTTGTTCATGGAGTGAGTGGTTTTGAAAAGAAGCAATCTTTAATGTTTAATATTGGAGTGTTTGCTGGTATGGCAGAAGCAAAGGGAAGGCTGAGCTGAGGTAGCCCCAAATTTTCATGGTTGCTCTCAGATTCTGGAGGAACCTCCAATTCCAGGCCTTGTTTTTACTTACAAAACCTGGGGTGTTCCAGAGGGATAAAAGTGTTCCATGCCCAATTGATGTTTAACTAGTTGTTGTAAAATAGTTAATTTCTCCATGTTTAAAGGCCACTGTTCTACCCAGACAGGATCGTCTGTGATCCATTCTAGGCAGAGCGTGAGGTATTCTCCAGTGGCCCTTAGGACTGGGGGTTCTTCTGATCTCAATATTTCTGGTAATCTTTTATTTGGAGGCATTTTCCTTCTTTCCTAGTAGCAAGGACCACATTTAAATCTTCTAGAAAGTCTCTTCAAAGTTAGTAGCCATGTTGGCAACTAAGTGTCTAATGGTCCTATTCATTCCATCTCTGTCCTCACATCTGTAAAAGTCTGTTCAGTTATTAAACTGGAATTATGACCAATTGTTTGTCCAGGGTATCTTTTCCACAGGAACACAACAGGTCCCACTCCCACTGGCTTGTTTGAACAGGTCCAACTATGAACGTTCCAAGCCTGGGACCATTTGACTTGCCTATCTACAAAGCCTGGATAGGCCCCTTCACTAACCTTTTAAAAACAAAAACCAAGCAAAACCCTCCCAGATTTCATACTGAGAGTACAAGCCAGTCTAGACAGAAAAATAACAGACCCCACAGCCAAAGCAATGCTCCTACATAGTCTTGTTTGGAAAGGAATGACCCCAGAACACAGACAGGCTTGTCAGGGCCTAAAAAATAAACATTATCATAAATGTATTGTGCCTACTCACGACATTGGGACTGCCTCATATCAAGCCTTCTTTCTTGCCCAAGCCTTTGAAGTAGCAACACGACCTACTTCAAGATGTTTTAAATGTGGACATATAGGAAATTGAAAAGGGGGGGTGCCCAGGAAACAATTCAAGTGCCTCTGAACCCTCTAAAACCATCTGCCTGCCACACCACCCCCCGCATTGTAGGAAAGGCCTTCACTGAAGAAGGACTGCAAAGTCATAACTGACAAAGAAGGCAACCTCCTAAGCCTTTCAACTCTACATGGGGCAGTCCTCAGCCCTGCCCTTAAGACTGAAAGGCCCAGGAGTCCACTGGGTCACTAACATACTTGAGAATTTTCACCCCAAACTTTGCATTAAAATTGACAATAAAAATTTTAAATGTTTGATAGACACAGGAGCAGTTGTAGTCCTATTTATTGATTATGGAATTCATTTTTTCTAGTCTGCGTTTGACACTCATCTCTAACTAGGGTTTCCCATTGTAGAGGGCTGGGAAGAGTGAATTGGCAAATACCTTTCCAGTCTTGGGGAGTTAAAAGGGTGCTATTGAAATTCTGAATAATAGTCTAGGTCTAAGGGGCATGAATTGCATTCTCCTGGACAGCTTGACCTAACTCTTTTAAATCTGTTGCAGAGAATGAAACTGTTGAGACAGCCAGGCAAAAAAAATTCTACCTGTTAAAGGGTACTAACTCCAGGAGGTCCCTAAATCCCTTACTCCACGACATCCATAAATCCCTGTTCGCTGCTCCAGCTGAGCTTCTTCTTTGGGATCCAGATTATTGCTTCTGAGAAGTGGGAGGGAGCAGAAACAAGAGATGATCCACGACTTGTGAGTGGATAGAAACAGCTCTCTGGGGAGATGGTTGTTACAACTCTGCTTTATTCCAGGAAGAAAGGGGAATATAAAGGCTGGCCACAGTGGCTGGGGAATCACCTGATTTGCATTAAGAGGCAGGCTCCTATCATAAGGCTCCTAGTGTGTACAGTAAGGGAGCCTTCCAGCAGGGATTTGTGTCAGGGTTCGAGGTAAAGACATCTGATTTAGAGACAGCTTTCAGATAAGGTGAGTCCTTCAGGCCCAGGTAAGACTAGATAGAGAGCAGGAAGCTTTGCTGGCAAGGGAGGAAGTTCCATGTTGCTGAGCTTATTGAGATAAGCTGCCAGGCCATCGCAAACTGTGATGTCTAACCAGCCAGCAATGTATTCCAACAGTATGATATAGCTACACAATGGACTATTACTCGGCTGTTAAAGAAAAATGAAATTTAAAAGTAAACAGATGGAGCTAGGAAATAATCATCCTGGGTGAGCAGACCCCAAAAAACAAATATTGTGTGTTTTCTTTTATATGTGAATGTTAGCTTTTAAACTTTGGATATATGTGCTACAATCTAAACAACCACAGAGTTAGGTACCTAGTAAGGCACCAGGCAGGAGCAGAGGATCACCCAAGGATGGGGAAATAGAATATAGATTTTTTCCTCGAACATTCCCCTGAAGGCTCAGGGAATCTATGAAGAGAGGAGGTACAGGTTCAAGCCAGACTGGGTCCCAGCACTTAGTCAAAGAAGAATTTGCAATTGGTAACCACTAGCTACCAACTCAAAGGGAAAAATCAATTTTCTACAATGGAATGTCACTGAGTATATCAACCACACCCTAGAGCAGGCCCAGTGAAAAGGAGTAGCTGACCAACCCCAATAAAAGTTCCATGGTTTGGCTTTTTGGTGGGGGGGGCTTTTAAGTTTGTTTTGTTTTGGCATTTTGTGTCTTACTTTTTTGTTTGTTTCCTTGTTTTGATTTTCATTTTTATGTTTTTTGTTTTTAAGAAAAAGAACAAAGTTGGATGGATAAGGAGATGAGGATGATCTGGGAGGAACTGAGGGAGGAGAGACCCATGACCCAAATAAATCATATGAAAAAAATAGATTAAAAATGTTAGTCTTCCTGTCTTCTACACTGTAATCACCTCTTCCGTGTAGAAATGTAAAGATTACCTGAGTAAAAGAAAAACTAACGAGGAAGAAGAACAGAAGACAAGACAGAGAGAGGGAAAGAAGGGCAGTGGAGTAAAAATCACTAAGATGATTGTGTATATGCCAGAGAAGTTTATTAATTTGTATAATTTATATTATAGTATTTATAACCAGTAAAATAACAAGGACCTCTGCAGAGAAATTCTTATTGTTATAGACAGAATTGTGTTCTCTTCCCCACATTAAAATGCATGTGTTGAAACCAAAACCCTGAGGACTTTAGAATACAAAATGTCTTTGGAGACAGGGTCTCAAAAGAAGTAACTCAAGTGAAATTAGATTACATCAGTGAACCCTAATACAATATGACTGCTGTTTTTATTAAACAACAACAAAAAGGGAGAGTAGGACTCAGACAAAAATCAGACAGAAGGACAGATACATGTTCTCCTACAGAGCCTGGTAGTGTGATCTAATTGGACAGTGTACCTCACAGACAGAAATTCCAATACTCTTTCACTAACTAGAAATGCTGTAGTTGGATACTTGTTATTTTAAGACTATGGACCATAGCCCCACAGGTGGTTGGTCTACAGGAAAACAAAGAGGTCCAGAGGTATCCCTGAGTAGACAGTTGGAGAGAAATAGGATTGAACTAGCCTTACTGCATCACAATGACAACTTTATGCTCGTTAACTTTAATCATTACAGAGTAATCTCAATGTAAAAGGTATCTTTGACATCAAATGCATAACTTTAGAAATATTATTATTATAAAATGGTGGAAAGCCAAAAGGAGGATGTCAACGTTTATGCAAGGGGAAGAAAAGAAGTTTATGCAGAGAAATAAAGAATAATCAGACATTGGAGTATTTAGACTGAGTTCTAAGAACTGATTTAGAGCTTGAAATCCTATATGGAAACAAATAATCTCTTCCACAGGAAAAGAAAATATTTGCAGATGTCACACATGACTCTTAAAAATAATGCCTAAATGATGCACTCCTATGTTGTGGGATATTTGCACACTATGTGAAAATGTATTGCTGTGATTAGTGTAATAAAAAAGCTAAATGGTCAACAACTAGAAAGAGATTAACTAGATGGGACTTCCAGGGACAGAGAGGATTCTGGGGAAAAGGACTCTTTACGGTTGGCACCCAATGGGAGCTCAAACCCACAACCAGTTGGTAGAGCATGTGACTCTTAATCTTGGGTCATGGGTTCGAGCCCCACACAAACAGTCTTTCTTTATCCTAACAGCTCCCAAATAATGACATGGAGATTTCCAATTAATTATGAAAGCTTGGCCTTCAGCTTAGGCTTGTCTCAATTCTAACTTAAATAAACCCATTTATATTAATTCATGTTCTGTCACATGACATTACCTCTCTTTTATCTTGCACCTGCTGTTATCTTTCCATCTGGCTGGCAACTCTGGCCTTCATCTTCCCAGAGTTCTCTCTGTCTCTAGAAGTCCCGCTCAACCTCTTCCTAGCTATTGACCATTCAGCTTTTTATTACACAAATCACATTACATTTTCACAGAGTACAAATATCCCACACACTCCTAAAAGACAAAATGATGTTGAGAAACTCACTAATAGTGTGCTAAATTGAAATGGTTGCTGGGTGAGTGCTGAGGAAGCAGAGAATGGAGTTCACTGTCTTGCCATTGGTGGAAAAATGTGGCTGAGCTGGAAAGCAATTCCCTACACTAAGAGTCTGGGCTCCAGTACTCCGTATTACATGCTTTCCCTTTTTAGGATGCTGAAGTAGGAGAAACATTTTGGGCTTAGCCACAGACAGTACAAACATGAGAAGCAGTTCTTTAGGTGATGCAACACTGCCAACACAAGGTCATTAATGAGCTCTGGCTCCATATTAGGATGATGATTTCAAACTCAGTCCTCCCTTTTCCCACCAGCTCCAGTCAGGTAAGAGGCTTCAGCTTGTCGGCTGTCCAGCAATCTAGAAGAAAACCTCAGGCCATAGCCTCAGTACCTCCAACATGTCTTTTTTTATTATTATATATACAGTGTTCTATCTGCACACATGCTTGCACACCAGAAGAGAATATCAGATCTCATTACAGATGGTTGTGAGCCACCATGTGGTTGCTGGGAATTGAACTCCGGACCAATGGAAGAGCAGTCAGTGCTCTTAACCTTGAGCCATCTCTCCATGCCCTTCAACATTTCTTAGTAAAGATGACTTATGCCAGGATACAGACACAAAGGAGCTAAAGTAAGATGGCAATAACATGTCAGAGAAAGTGTTAATTGGAGTTAAAGAGTCTAAAGATTATTGAAAGGGAAGTTAAGAATATAAACGTTAGGGTTCATTAAACCATCCGAGCATATACAAAATTAAGAATGAACATTAAGACAGTGAAAATAAAATTTTTAACTAGCAAACTATTAAAAGTGAAAAGTAATAAAGATAATTTGATGAATTCAATAAAATACAAAAAGCATGTAGTACATAAAATGCATAAAATAAAATGGTAGAAGTAAGTGTAGGCCTATCAGTAATAAAAATTAAGAGAATGAACTGACTTGTTAAAAGACAGAGTCTAAGATATAGTTTCTCTTTTCATGAAAGGGTGTATGATGATCAATCTTAATATCAGACTTGACAGGACCTGGAATCAACTAAAGATACATCTCTGGAGGGTCAGTGCAGGGATTTCCAGACAGGATGAACTGAGGAAAAAGACTCTCCCTCAGAGTAGAGGGCACCTTGCCACAGGTGGCCCAGACAGAAGATCTGATGTCAAAGCAGCAATGTTGTCTTGCAGTTGTGGTTGCTGCTGCCGCTGTTTCTGCCTTTAATGACACCAGACTTCAGCTTCTTCAGATTTCAATGTGGACTGAGGCCTGCTACTCTCCAAGATATTCTTCAGGTCTTCAGTTCTTAGATTAGAACTGCTGGGGCATCTAGACTCATGGGCTGAGAAGCTACTGTATTCTCAGTCTCTCCAGCATGTAGATGTCTATTGTTGGACTACCCAGTTCATAGTGTGTAAGCCAATCTAGTAAATCCCCTTTTAACACACACACACACCTTATTCTATCTATTCCTCCAGAGAACCCTTCCTACCTAATACAGGGATATGTGTGTTTGTGTGTGTATGTTTGTGTGTGTGTATGTGCCTCATATTAAAATGAGTCATATAAAAGTGCAACAGCACCAGAAATGTATAGGAAGTATGGGAAAAGCTTATTCAAGTGTGTTAGTATGTTTTATGTTGCTATAAAAGAATTTCTGAGATTAGATGATTTAAAACAATTTACTAATTTGTGGCTCTGGAATGCTTTAATGAACTTTCTTTTCCTAGAAAAATATTTATCAAGGTTCCATCATGTGGCAAATTCTATGCCAGGTACAGATAATCAGATGGATGGACAGCAGACAGACAGATAAGCAGCCAGACAGAAAGATAGGTTCTCATTAATGAGACAATTGGAAACCTGGAAGAAGATAACATGAATCAACGAATTATATAAAACTATACTATATTAAATACTAATCATCTTATAAAGTTGTCGATGTTATCTTTATCATTATTCCCATTTTAGCACTGAGAACTTTGAAGCACAGAGCATGTTAAAAACTTACCCAAAGTCAGTAGAAACAGCAAGTGGTGGGACTGGGGCTTGAACTCAGAATGATCTAACAATGGCTTTAACCATGGTGATCTCCACAAGTAGAGTCAGATAAAGATGTAATGCTATAGTTGAGCACTGAGCGCCTGCACACCAGGGAACAGTGGATATGAAGATTAAAGGCATACATCTAGCAAAGACAAGAAGGCTTCTAAGCAGGATGAATGGCTGGTGGATATTACCTTTGGCAATAGGAAGCGTGGATACAATCAGCAAAATAAAGTCATTGGTTACTGGGACAGAGGAAGGTCAGTGTTACACTACCCTGTAGCGAAGGGAGGGTGGAGACCAGAGGAATAAAGTCCACTAAAGGAATATTCTTGCTACACTGACAAATAAATGAGGCTTGGTCAGTGGTGGTGAGAGTCCAAAGGGCCCAGGGCTAACCCAGTGGATTGTATGCGGGGACACAGTGTTAG